TACCAAGCTATTGCCCTACTGTTATCATTAAACCATAATGGTCCTCACATTCATAGGCCATCCTGATTTCACCATGCTGCTACTAGTATTTGTTACCAGGATCCTTTCATAAAATTATTTGCAATTATGTCATATCTGAACGCCAAGGCTGTGAGTCAAGACTAAATTTATTCATTGCCAGTTTGTATCCATTTCTCTTTGGCCAACACTGTGCTTTAACTTAAAAAGATTTTCTCACTCCCTAGTATTTCATCTGTGATGTATTTATAGAGATCCCTTCTCAACCTTCATTAGATAAAGCAAGCCAAGAACAGTTAGTCTCCTCTTGTTAGACAGTCACCAGTGTCCTGATCGTTTTAATTCCTCTTTGCTCACATTCCAGTCAAAATTCAACATCCTTAAGCAATGTTGACCAGAAATGCATATGGTATTCCAGATGAAGTCTCACAAGGTCTTTCTACAGGAAATACTTATTTATTTTGGGTACATTCTCACTCTGAATTACTAATTGATTAAAGTTTAATTTTCATAAAATTGTCCTTGTATATAAATCACAATTTGAAGAATGCTTACATTTTCATGTATGGATAATCTAACTTATAACTAGTGCTTCTTTATAAAAATTTTAATGTTTCAATTATGCTTGAACAGAAACTCTCAAATTAGAACTTTGAAAATGTCAAATCAGAAAAATAATTCCATATTGTACACTTAGGTATGGAAAAACTAGGTTAGGAAAGGTTTAATTATTTACACATATGAGTAGGACATCAGTCAGGATGAATTGATGTCATCCCTCCTCTCTAATGGCTCTACCTGCACTATTTTTTCTTGTTAGGCAGTGGAGTTAAATAGCTGTGATCTGACCTTGCTGTAACAGTTAGCTCTGTGCAACACAGATGGAAACAAAGCAGGTTTTTAATTGTGATGAGGTAAGTTCTCTCCCCACATTTCATCAGGGCTAGGACATGACTTGCTGAGCTGGTTATGTAGCACGTAACCACAGCCCTTTCCCACAGGAAGGACTCGGCAGTGGAACAACAAAGCTGGTTAATGTAATTACGTGCTATTCCGTGACTCTCAAAACATGAATGATGAAATGCGGTTTTCTGCTACACTCGCCTCTCTGTGTGAAGTGATGATTCCTCCTTTTGCTGCTTACTGATGGGAGAAAGGTGGGGAAAGGTGTGCATTGCAAAGTTGTGGAGGATAGAAGGGATGACGCTTCCCATTGGATCAGTCTCAGTTTCCAAAGCCTTTCCGTTGCGAGGCCACACGTGGAAGTGCTGGCTACTTGCTACCTCACCGGGGTATTTTTTCACTTCAGGAGTAGGCAGTTTGCACCTTCTTTTCTACCATAGTTCTTACAGTTTTTATCAAGATTAATCTATTAATAATATTTCCTGTAATTGTGAGTGGCGATTTCCTGCTTCTGGTATTTCTGTATTGCCCACTTCCCCTACCTCCTTCACAGTCTGTCCTTGTCAGAGCTCTGTTCTGCTCTTGGTATTTGCCAAAGTATCTGCTTTCCTTAACCCTAAATTTGCCATTAACCAACATGAAAGGGAGAGAAGGTAACTATTTCATTTTCTATAACTGATAACAAAATACAGACATTGCAAACACTTTTATATCCTGTAAGGTTTATTAAAATAGAGAAGATAACCCTTTCTAAATGTCGTACATGTTATAAAGCTTGTTTACATCACATTACTACCACTAGTTTTTCTCAGAGGAAACAGCATTGTAGCTCCCTTTTTTTCTGGTAGCATCTTAAGGCTCTATGCACAATGACCACCACAAATGCCATCTACCCTTCTGAGCAGAAATGAGAGACTTGACCTGCGTCATTGCTCACATTCAGAGGCTCACTTATCAAGTGGGATACCACCCGAGACCTTGAGATATGAGCAAATGTCTATATTTATCACCAACAGCCTCTTTCCCACAAACTCTTGCCACATGGTGTCATAGTGTGGGTTACATCTCTAATGACTAGTGCACCCATACAGTGAATAAGATTTTAATAAGATTTTAACATGACAGTATAGCAGAAGCTGAACAACAAATTGTGAGGCAAAGCTCTCCGAGACACAGCCCTTGTTCTATGCAGCATATTCACACCTCAGAAATAAGTGTGGATACACTTTCTCTCCTTTTTATGTTAGTGGTACGTTTAAGGTTGAACGAAGTAGGTAGTCTAGTTAATACCAACACTTAAGCCATCACAAAGCAGCTGGCATCAGGAGAAGAAAAAAGAGAGTGGGAGAGGGAAAG